TCATAATGGAAACCCAGAATTTAACTGTTCTTCCCTGAAAGCAGGACAACTTACGGTAGAAACTCTTTTTCAGTTCTAACATCATGTTCACTCTCCTTCAAAACCTGACTAGGTAAAGCATAAAGCAAGATACACCCCACCCCTAAATTTCCATTTCACTTCTAAGAATCTGCCTTCTTAAACCTTCATTATCTGAGAGAGCATGTATGTGTGAATTTATGTGGGAAGCAGTAGTTGCTGTTTTTCAACTACACTGAACTCCAAAAACATGTTAAGAAGGGGGAAAAAAGGGATGGCCTGTTTTATTACATAAATACGTGCAATTTTCCTCCCCAATGTTTATAATTTCTTTAGGTATCAATAATTTATTTATTTATTTATTTTTTTTCCAGACAGAGTCTCACTCTGTTGTCTTGGCTAGAATGCAGTGGCATCATCACAGTTCACTGCAACCTCAAACTCCTGGGCTCAAGCCTCAGTCTCCCAAGTAGCTGGGTCTACAGGTGCACGCCACCATGCTGGCTAATTTTTTCTATTTTTAGTAGTTACCAGGTCTCACTCTTTCTCAGATTGGTCCTGAACTCCTGAGCTCAAGTGATTCTCCTGCCTCAGCCTCCCAGAGTGCTAGGATTACAGGCGTGAGCCGCTGCACCAGGCCTTTTATCTTCCTTTTTGAACCCAGAGAAAAAAATTATGTTCACTGCATATGAAAATATTAACATAAAAACTGACTTGGGGAAGGAACTACCAAGTCAACTTTAATTGCTTTCTTAAAGTAATTTTGTTTTTAGCAAATAGTGAGCTATGTAAAAGTACATCCATTTTTGGATAATACATGGCACAAGTGAAGGGTATTCTTGGGGGGTGGGTGGTAATCAATTTGTTTAAGCAAGACTAGTTTAGTGAACTTGAAATCCGAATTTAGAAATGGAGAATAACTCTAAAAGTATGTCTTAGAAATAATTTGTCTTAGAACAGTTTATGTCAACAATTCTAAAAACAGAAAAAAGCCGTTTTTTCCAACTGTTCAAGATAGAGGACCTTGCCATACCCCATTTTCCAGCACAGCTTTAAACAATCACAGAATATTTCATTATTTCTAAAGTCATTAAAACATTTAGCCAATGCTTTTTCTCTTTTAATGTTTGTGCCATTTACACCAAAGTATCTTCAAATTCATAACAATTTTTTTGACTAAAAAAATTATACCTGTGGATTTGGGGAGAGTTATGAAAATAATATGATAATCCCAAACTCTGAAAAGTAAAATCCAAAACAGAGCTGTAGTTTGGTATTCCCAGCATTATGCTGGGATTTAACACTCTTTATGACAGGTTTTTGCTATTAGGTCTTTTGTGTTATCTAGGTTTGAAAGTAAAAGTGATGAATGATGTCATTGTTCAAATAACAAGGAAGAGGCAAACTGTGGTTAATAAAACAAATGAAATAACCTATAAGAGTATGCAGGGTGTGAGGCTAAATTCCCTCCCCCACACAAAGTTTTCAACATACGCATTAAAAATAAAATACAAAATATTCACTGGAAAACATCCAAATGAATCTATGACTTATTTAATATTAGAACTTGAGAGAGAAGAGAGATAATGTTAGGAAAAGCATTAATAGGATTCTGAAACAGCTTTCTAGAGTCTGCTAACATGAAAGAGTTTGGAGGGAAAAAAAGAAAGTTTATCTAAATTCAGGGAAAAAAGGGTTGTTGGTGATTGTTTTCGCATGGCTCTAAATAGTGGTATTATTTCACTCTAGTTAACTAAAACTGTGAACATCTGAACCTCTTCACTTTTGAGGGGTAATGGTGTAGTACCATATCCTAAGCAATAATAATAATACCGGTTTTATCATTCATTAAACCAGTGACTGGCCCTGATGTATATTTATTAATGGCAACTACACATTATCCATTAGCTGCAAAATATTTAAACTTCGATTTCTATGTAGATTGAAGCAATTATTTGCTCAGAAACTAAAATATTGTATCATACTTTTGACCACCTAAATTTGAATTACACTGGCTGCTGAGTTAAGATATCTTTGTTTTTATTTTCTGGGTAGTTTCAAGAATTCTGACAAGCCCATTTGGGGATGAATTTTGACCTAAGCCTTATAAGAGAAATGAACAATCTTAATTGGTAAGAAGGGAAATAAGTTTCTCACTATGAGGAAAAGGCTCATGAGCAGAATAATGGCAACAAGGCAGCAGAGTGCATTTGGCTAATGGAAGAGTAACTGGCTCAACCAGCATCAGTGAGAGAGAGAAGGCTATTTATTGACCACAGACAAATGAGCCACGTTGCAGAGTTTAGAACTGATCTCATAGGAATTAGGGAATCCTGATATTAAGAACTCATTCTTACGCATAAGAAAAGGTAAAAATGTTCACACTCAGAGGGACAGACTATCTTTCCTCAAAGTGCTTCTCTCAGAAAGACCTTAAAACAGAAGCTGAAATGCATTCCTAAATCCACACTCTCAAAAGGTCTCTCCAACTTAAAGGAGCATTGATGTGTAACAAAGAGAATATGACTAGAAAATCGAGCATTAAATGCTCAATCTCAAAAAGCAAAGATGAGACTAGAAATTGCTTTTGAAATATAAAAATCGTGAATAATCAAAATGAAATTAAAATTTTAAGCTCTACAAGGACAAATTTTTCCAAAATTCTACTAACATACCATAATTAAGGTGATAATTTCCATATTTAACTAAGAAGATAATTAATGCACTTAAAGTTTTATTTTTTCAAAATTTCACCTTTCAATATCATACAAGTCCCATCTCTTAGGATTTTTCATTAACCTCACCCATACTGACATTAGTGTACATGACCACAGAATCCTACAATATAGACATGATTTGTTAATCCTATTGGAAGTACTTAAAGACAGCTCTTGAAGTTTGTAATTCATACACATTTTGAAGTTTGGTATCTTCTCACATCCCAAAGCATATGAGATATATGATTACAAAATAATTACACTGACTTCACTGTCGCTTGTTAACTCAGCTACACTAGTATCTATTAGAACAGTGAAATAAACAAACCAACAAAAAACTCTGAACAAGGCACTCAAGTGTTGACTTATGCCTGTTCTTTGAGACTGGAAAGCCCTTTCTGGCTTTCTTGATTATCCCAGCAAAACCATCTTCGCTTAAGATATGACTCTTCTTGGAAATTTTCCCTTACATCTACCTTAAGGTCACCCAGAAAATAATAGGATGAGAAAAACACATACAAATGCTTTCTTTATACAAATACCACTAGATTCTTTGTATCTGAAATACTTCCAATTTAACTCTATACTGGAATTTCATACATTTACTGACAATTTTCATAATTGTACCAGTTAAATGCACTGACAACGAAAACATATGTAACAAATCAATATTTTAATCTCCAGCATATGCAAAGTAGATTTTTAAAAGTTTACCTCTTTCAGATTTCTTGCTCTGGCCTAAGCAAATCTAAGTAACTCTAATTTTAATATCTTAGAATTTTTATTACTAATAAGCTTTACCTTTTCTAAAGCTTTACTATTAAAAAAAAGTCTATGAATTCCTGGTGATAATTTTAATAACAGCAACTATTTACTCTTCAACTACGAAATAAAGACCTAGAAAGATATGATTTATTTACCAGATATAAGGTTTAAGATGAGTAGAAAAAACAGAAAAAGAAATAATTTCAACACCCACTTTTGGCATGGAAGACTTTTTACTTGAATCCAAATCTCCTTTAATGTCTGCTCCTATATTAGATTCCACTTCATTTATCATGAATAAAAGCTTTCTTTCAGAAACACCAGAGAAAAGGCAAAGGAAAAAATGTCTTCATTTTAAAGATCCAATGCTATGCTGCTCTTCACAGTCAAATGTGGTATCAGTGCTCCTCATCATAAGAATGTCTATGCTCTCCTTTAGTGAAGATGACTTGTTATGAGTTATCCCTTACTTGGTCTTTTGACTACATGGAGACATTTACGAGATAGATCAAAAAGAACAGAGTTTCCCTCTCAGAAAGTTAACTGGTCTCTATGAGGCCTGTATCTGACTTTATCAGCATGGTGCTCCAATGGACAAGTTAAAATTATCTAAAATGATGCAATTCTGCCAACTCCCACTTCTACAGCAGACTCTAAAACAATGCACTTACTTAACCTAGTGTAGAATGAGCTACACAGAATGTGAGGTGTTTTATGGTTGATTCTGCCCAGGAGAAGCACAATGATTCTCTAGCTCCCAATTTCTTCTAATCTGTGGACCCTAAACACACAGAATCTCTTCAGTTTCAAGAATGAGATTCTTTCCATGAGTCCGATAAGTGCCTGTGTTAGAAGAAAAAATGGCCACAATCTCTCCATCCAAATATTAATAAGATGCCTTCACAGCCAGTGCTTCCTGAGGTTCATGAGGGAGAAATGTTGATAAAAGCCAACAAGGAAACCTGAAACACTATCCAGTCAGATTCTTTCTCTTCTGATAATTTTGACATTCTTCCTTTAGAATGTCCACTAGAAAGAATTTTTCTTTTCCTCATAGTATCATGATTCTTACTAAGATTTCCTAAACTAGCCTACCCAAGTAAATAATCTGTACTACCTCTGTTATTGTTCAATTTATTAATTCCTTTAAATCATTATACATACTATTTTAAGCTATTCAAATAATAATTAGGCACACCCAGAGGCTGACAGGATGTACAATTGAGATATGATACATTTCAAATATGAAATAAAAAAGACCTCCACAGAATCAAAATAAACACTAGAAACTCTCTGGGAGGAATGGGGAGAGAGCAGATAGTATTAGATCTTCTGGGAACAGCAAGGTTAAGTAAGTACCTTAGTAGAAAGATGGCTCAAGGTTATACTCTGGGCTAATCTTCAGTGAGCACAAGCCCCTGGAATATAAGTTTCTCTCCTTCCTAATTTAATCTTTTTTTTTTTTTTTTTCCAATGCTAAAACATCAGATAAGAGCCTACCTGACATTTTGGAGAATTTGCTGTGCTGGGATTGATATTCCGCATTGCCTAAGAGTAAAAAATAAGATGGATAAAAATTACTTTAAGCTACATGGTTGGGCTATGTAGGCTGACTTACAAATTGCATCCAGACATATCACCATAGCACAGAATTCCCAAGCTACCCAAGAAGAAGCAGACTAAGGAAGATAGGAGCCAATGGAGTCACCACATAATAAGACAAAACCTCAGAAGTTTTTAACAGCATTGAGGATAGGACAGCAAGACTTTAGGTGTCAGGACTAAAATAAAATTTGATATTGGTCAGGTAGGTTCTTTGCTTCTGAGTATTAGATAAAGCAAGTAAAATATATTTGATGTTTCAGTATAAGAGAAACTGTCAATGGAAGTTCACAGGGAAGCCAAAAGACTTAAGATATATAGAATTTATACTGATTGCTAAAAAACAAAAACAAAACCAAAAAATTCTAAAAATAGACTATTAGTATGAGAATAAAGCAGGTCTATCACTTCAACATAAGAAAAGACAACACAGTATGTATAAAAGAAGAGACAAACACAGAAGTTACCTTTAACAGAAGTGAAGCTATTCTGTCCAGGACCCATCACCCAGAGTAAGAATAAGATTTAGAAAAATTCTTTGGAAGGAAGAGTTTTACAAGTAGCAGTGTTATGCCCACCAAAAAACCCCAGGCTGATCTATAGCATACAACAAAATGATGACTAGCCCCATTTCTACACTTTAAAAATGATCTTAAAACAGTTAAGACTTTGACATTAGCAATGAAAGAGTTTTTCGTATTAAAGTTTTTTGATTTTTATAGTCTCCATTCATATGTGAAATTAAGATTTGTATTTATTTAGGCAAACTAATAGTAATAAAATGAAAAACAAGTCAGTCAGAGGTACAATAAACTGTGTCAATATGCTTCCTCTCTCCATCTTCTTTATGGCAGATAAAAAAATATTTCTTTCAAGACCACTTTGTAGGAATCAAAGGGAAAGCTTCCCCTTCACCCTCTAAAGGTTTGCTGAAAATGAACTGAAAATAGGCAGATTTATAGAGAAAAAGGCATGCAAATTTATTTAATATACATAAGCATGGAGAAATTGCTTAAGAATGATTACCCAGTAACTGAGTGAGGTCCAAATGCTTATATACCCTTCTTCATAGGAGAAAGGGAGATGGAAAAACTGTAGTCATTTTGAAGGTAGTGAGTGATTTTTAGAGGGAATGAATGGACCCACAGCTCAGACAGCAGTTTGTAAATAATTCTTTGGAAATTGAATGGGATTTGAGAACATACAATACTTTGGGCAAAGTTTGTCTGGGCTCTAGGTGTGGTGTTTAATTTTCAGTCTTTTCTTCTGTGATATGAGTTTCAATCTTCTCTGGTTAATAAAATTTCAGGGAAGGGATGGAAGACAACTATGTTCCTTTTTGGCGGGTCTGGTTTCTAGGTAGATAAAGAAACTTTGGGGAACAGCCTCATCCTATACTTTGGTAGAGACCTTCAGGCTGCTTCTTTAGTTCAGCGAGTCAAAGCGCCATATTTTGGAGTAGCATTTTCTGAGCCCCGATAACTTCCTGACATTGTATGCTGGCACATACTATCTTATTCCTTCTATCAGGTCTTACCTTTGATGCCAAACACACTAGAATTATACTGACAGAGCACAATTTAAAAGTGAATCTGTCTAGGCTTTTGTGGCTTAATTTAACTTCTCAGGTAGTAGTTCCTCAAATCCCGATTCAGAGTTCACAGATAGTATACTGAGTTCATGTTATTTTCTTTGACACTCAAAGCGATACTTTTAAAATACAGCCCTTTCAAAAAATAGATCTTTAAATGCCTACATCCCGGTAACAGAAATGTAGGGTATAATGATTTCTAAATGTCCACAATGATTTAGGTGGGAAAAAATAGTATAGATACATGTATTTCATGTTTCTAAAGATATGTATATCTCTGGGGGGAAAATAACCCAAGAAACTCATAATTATTTACACCCAGAGAACTAGGAAAATAGGGAAAAGAAGATTCTATTTTTGCTATACTTTCACCTTTTGTATACTTTATCACTATTATACCGTGTTTTTATTATCTACTCAAAAAAATTTTATATGGAAAATTTAAAATATTTATACCACTTAACGTAAGATCACATTCCTAATACCTGAACTTAGATTTAACCACTTTGAAACAAGATAAAGTAAAAATTAATTTTGAGATGAAGAATTATCTACTCTTATGGAACATAAAGACCAATAGCACTTTCTGATGGAGAACTGACAGAAATGGTGATAAAGGGCTTCAAGTTCCCTAATGTTAGGTCCTACCCTTCTCAATATGAAAAATATCCATAAGCAGGTAATTTTTAGGTACACTGTCATCTTCTAAACTTCGAGATAACTTATGTTTTAGATAAAAACTCTTAGACTTAGTAATACTGAAATATATTTGTCATTTGAAAAGTGTCACATTGGTGTATCCCACACACAAAAATAATTTATTTAAAGTAAAAGGTGTTTTTCCCCAACTGATATCCCAGAGTTTCTCCCTTAGTGAAATCCTCAGAAATACAGTAACCTAAAATTCCATGTACATTTGAGGAGGCATCCTTGTTTCCTTCAATTTTTGCTGAACCACACGACCACAGCCAAAACAGCTCTTTATGATACAGGTTTATAAGTTACATCCCATGTGGTCAAAGGCCAGTCAATAAACTAAGACAAGGACAGAGCTGGATAGAATGCTTCTGTGTCACTCCAGTTTGACAGAGAATAGTCCTCTGTTACTAATAAATACTAAAATGAAATTTGCCCACTTTATGTAGGAAAACAAACCCCAAAAAGTGGAAGGCTGGTTTCTAACCTGTGGCCTCACCTGCCGAAGCAGTTCTTGCTGTTTCAGTCGCAGTCTCTCTTTCTCCATCTGCAGTTGTTGCAGCCTCATCTGTTGCTGCTGGTTGGAGTTGCCGCCACCCATGACGCCTCCCTGAGGGCTCTGGGGAGCCAGGGGTGGTGGCTGTTTCACTGGAGCACTCTGACTGATTCTCTGGTTCATGGCTGAAATGAAAAAAAAAACACAAAACCTAACAGATTTGTCCTAAAAAACTAGTTAAGGAAGAGAAATTGATGATTTAATTATTCGAAAGCAATTGGGATATTCAGTGTAGCTTTTTTTGGTAGTAAGACTGAAGTAACTTAAAATCCATCAATATCACAATGGCTACATTAACTTAATGTTGTCACCATCATTGTTATAAGATACAAGGCAGTTGTAAGAGCAAAGAAACAAGAGATACTTCTAATATGCAATGATATGGAACAGTTTCTAAGACCTTAATAGAAAGCGTGGAACAGAAAGTGTAAGAAAAAGGGTGGGGTGGGGAATATATATTGCTTATCCAAAGGATATGAACTGAAGAACAGCTACAGAAACAACTAGTATCTATTGGCTCTGGAGACGGGAAACTGATGACTACATGACTGAATTGGAGAGACTTTTATAACTTTTGAAGTTCGAATGATGCAAATACATTACTTATTACAAAAAATATATAAATTCAGTTAGAAACCCATCCCCCAAAGCAACTGAGACAAAGCATTCTGAGTAGTAAAACCTATAGAAATAATCAATGCTTAATATATTCATATCTGTATCTATATGTATATCTATAATAAAGCAAGTAGATCAAAATGATTTGATGCATGCTTGTATCAAATCGAGTCTGCAAGTATCTGGATGACAGCAATATATCTCATTTTACACCACTGTATCCGCAGCATATAGCCCAGGTAGTCAAAAAAAAATTTTTTTTTTTAGCTGAATCTGTAATACACCATTTAGCAGTTAGAAATGGACTGATTTTTATATTAGTGAATTTCTGTCACTGATATGGCACTGATCAAACTGTGGATTAACCTCAGAGCAGATGGAAGTTTTATGTAAAAATGTTAGTAAGAATGATATACCTTTACAGACACATATTCAACTTTTTAAGTTGAAATTTTGGGGACATTTTCTACTAAATGTTTAATACACACTGACCAAAGAAAACCCCAGACCTAAATGTCTTCACAAACATTCAAGGAAGAAATACCAGTATTCTACAAGCTCTTCCAGAGCATAACAAAGGAATATTTTCCAACATTTATGAAGCTAGCGTAACCTTGTACCTTACAAGGATATTAAACGAAAGGAAAATTAGACCAATCTCTCATATAAACTTCACTACAAAAATTCTAAATAACACACACTGATAGTTCTTGTAACTTATTGGCCTCCCAGCCACACAGCAAACTCCTTGTGGTGATTTTTCATGTTCCCCATTATAACAAAGCAGCTGTTTGGCAAATGCCATGTCTTCTTGGAGATACTTGAGCAAACCTCATGAGGCTTTCCCAGAGTCCATCATACACATTAAGAATTTTCTTCCCTCAAGGAACTAACTGTCTGGGAACTTTTCCATTTTGTCTACTAACATTTCTTATCTGATTCTAATTTTCTGCTTACAAATTCATATACTCTCCTACACTTGAGTGCCACAGGAGTGAGGGCAGTATCTGATTCATTTATGTGTCCTCAGTGCCCAGCACAGCATCTGGCACAAAGTGTGTGCTGGAAAAAACAAAACAAAACAACAATAAACCATTTCTATGTAAGTTGAGTATTTATACTTATTCATTGAGGCAGAAAATTAACTATTTAAGACCTAAGACAGTACAGAAATCCTAATTTCCCTTTAGATTGCCCAACTCTTTTTTTTTCCTCCTCCTTTTCTCGTATTACTATGTTGCCCAGGCTGGCCTCAAACTCCTGGGCTCAAGCGATCCTCCTACCTCAGCCTCCTAAAGCTTGTAGCTGGAACTACAGGTGCACACCACCATGCCTGGCTCAAGATTGCCGAAGTCTTCTATGAGGCCAGCATTAACACTGATACAGAACCAAGGATATTAGAAGAAAGGAAAATTACAAACCAACCTCTCTCAGAATTCCTTAGTTCAATTCTATTTTCTGAGCCACTAGTTAATATGAGATGGCACTATTAACTAACTTCTATTTTTCTGTTCTTAATTTTTCCCTCCAGTTTTTCTATATTTTATTTTCTAATTTTTGAGTTGAACTTAGTTTAAATCTTTTGTTGGAGGATTTAAGTCAATAAATTTACCTTTAAATTCTGCTTTAATGCATTTTGAAATAGTATAATTCATGATTGTTCTATTCCAAATATTTATAATTTCTACAGTGACTTACATTTAACTCATGAGCTATTTAGGAATATATTTTTATGCTTCCTGGCTGAGTGCATGGTGGCTCACACCTGTAAGTAATCCCAGCACTTTGGGAGGCTGAGGTGGAAAGCTCACTTGAGGTCAGGAGTTGAGGATCAGCCTGAGCAACATAGCGGGTCTCTACAAAAAATAAAATCAGTCGGGTGTGGTGGCATGCGCCTGTAGCCCTAGCTACTCTGGAGGCTGAGGCGAAAGGATCCCTTGAGTCTAGGAGTTTATGGCTTCAGTGAGCTATGACCACACCAATGCATTCCAGACTGGGTGATAGAGCTCAACCCCATCTAATTAAAAAAAAAAAAAAAAAATCCTTGTAAATGTTTGTACTAGGCCAGGGTCAGGTCAGCTGTATGCCTGGCTTTTACCATTGAGCCTGTTTATGTATTTCTTCCTTATTCCTAACACGTTCCTGATATCCTCAGGAGCTGAACCTAGCAGCCCTCAAGCACCATGCTCAATGCTTTGTGTGGTTTTATTTTGTGACCCACAGAGTTTAAAAAAAAAATTTATTACCCCAGTTGTGTCTTTTTGGTTATCTTGTTTTAATATTTTGTCTGAAAGAACAGAAGGGATGGCAAAACATGTTATACTGCTCAATCTTGTTCTAAGCCTTATTAAGCTCTTACATGGCAAAAATAAAATCATATTGACTCATGAAGATTTTGGAAACATCTTTAGAAAGAATAAGTGGCTAAAAGTTTCATTTTCTTAGTTTATAGTTTAGTATTTCATAGGGGAATGGAGAGGAAAAAAAAGCCAACAATTTTTGAGAGCTAAGATTTGCCAAGCACCAACAACCTCATTTAATAAAACTGCTTGTATCTGTCACCAACATATATGTATAACTGACAAGTACCATAGTGTAATGTAAAAAAAATGGCCGTTTGAGTCAAGCAAAAATGGATGACAGTTGGGCATACCAATTTAGTAACTCACTTATTCCTCATTTTCTTCAACTGTACCTGGGGATACTAACATCTCCCTTTTGGAGTCATTATGGGGACTGAGTATTCCATTATATACCTGGAACAATGTGCTCCATAAACGTTCATCTGGCTCTCTCCTCCACAACAGTTCTTTCTAGTTCTTTCTGTAGAAAGACTTCTACAGATACTCACCATACCTTGATGATACCCATTCTTTCTTCCTCCAACACAGAAAGACAGACACACACACACACACACTCTCTTTCTCCCCCCGCCGCCCATTTATCATACCATTCACTGTTTCCCAGTATTCCTATGATTCATGAAGACACACATGCATATCTTTCCTATAAGACTTAAATACAAAAAGATAGGCGGTAGAGACTGAGCTAAGGGGATCTTCCTCTTTCGGTGAAATATGTTCCTGGCATTTCAATAGAACACCCAACATATTTCCACATAGAGACATTTTATACACTGTGCTATGCCAGGTTTGATAGCATGAGTTCAACATGAATTGGGAGACTGATTTGAGACACATCACGTATAGTGAACATGTCATAAATTGAGGCCTAGAACAAACAACTATTGGGAAAAAGTATTTTCAGTTCCAAGCAATTAAATTAAAAAAATAAAACTGTGAGAAAATAGTCTATTAGTAAATTGAGGAGTGCTGGAATTATAAAACACGACCGATTTCAAAATAGATCCTAGAGCTACATACTGTTAAATATTTCATCCATTAAGAAACATTAGAAAAAGCTTTTGAACTTTTCACATTAGATTTTTTATTAAAATAACATTTAAGGGATTATTTATAAAGTAATATACATTCTTGGTGAAAACAAACTGGACGCTAACAAAATCGCATGAAAATAAAGAGGTAAGTATCCTTTGTTTCTCACCAATTTCACAGAATTAGATACCATAAGCAGTAAATCATTAATGACAACAGCCACCGCTGATGGCAAACTGAATTGGTTGGTAAGGTCTTCTTCAAATCTAAGTTTATCTGACTACTCAAAATTATACAATGAGAAAAATTAAGATAACAAAATATATCAAAAGATAGAGGAAGAACCAGTCCACAGAATGAAGCAGAAACTTGCACAAAATATGTACCAGAAATAGTCTGGTGACTATGGTGAACACTTTTGGCTGTGTTTACCTAAATGTTGTTACCTATGGATACAAACAGTACTAACAAGGTTTCCGTATGAAGAGCTCACTTAAATGACCAATTCAAACAACCTTGTTTATCTACTGAAGCTGGGATTTATTCCTCTCCAGAAGCATCCTGTTCTTTACCTTCTGAGTAACTTAAGCATTTCAACAAAGCACAGAGCAATGCACCCACATGGGGTGCAGCAGAGACCTCACAAGCAGGCAAGAAACAAAATAGGCTTTGTTTTCTGGGGAAAGGGGGCAGGGTAGCTAGAAAAGAAAAGAATAGCATTACCAACTTCTTCCCCTGGGTAATCAACTACTGAAATCCCAGCGTTTCCAGTTTTAGTAAAATTTCTAAAAGGTAAAGAGAAAAAAAATCAAACCCTTCAAAATGTCAGAATTCAAAAAATTATAATATGCTATAGTTTTAAATGCAAAGTCTGTGCTTCTTGGACTATGAAATTGTAACTGTTTTAAGTTTTACTTAACACATCAGTCCTGACAGCTTTATGGTAGAAAACCAAGGACTCAACAATTACTGAAAAATAAGAAACTTTCTCAAAAAGAAAAGAAAGGGGGTCATCACCATAGATCTCTTCCTAGGTTTCATTCTAAACATGTGAATTTCCAAACTTCAGAAAATTTTTAGGTTTACACAATTTATAACCTCAAAACCTTGAA